TATTAAAATTGTGGTGCACTTAATAAAATTCGTAATAGTAATATAGTTACCCTAGTTATTATGTTTGTTATAAAGAGGGGGCAATGTTGTTTTTCTATACTTAATTAACTATATTTGTCAAATAAGTCGAATTGTTACCATTTTTGTCAAAACTAGTATTTTTAATTCGATTTCTTAAAAACAAGGATCATGTCACTTGTATATAAAAATGGTACATAAGAAATTATACAAAATGATGCAGAGGGAAAAGAATAGATGAAAAAATTGACCGTGTTTTAAATTGACAAACGATAGACTGTCATGTGACATTATGTAATCACTTATGTAAATCTTTATGTACATGTAATAAGATTCTAAAAACAATATGTACCGGATTGGAGTCACTGGAATTCTTTTTGAACATCCAAATAAATATAAATTGTTGCAATTTTTAACGTAAACTGTTATTGAAGTCTTAAGAATTAAGTTCCATTATTTTAATATTCATTTTCTGTAGACTAATTTTCAATCACACACTCTCAATAAAATAATTTTACACGTAAATTTAATTTTTTTTTTCGACATTTTAATTTTTAACCACACATTCTCCAGAAAATCGCGATTACAAAATCTATGTTCCCAAAAAAGGGGACTCCAACAAACCCTAAGTAATGTCAAATGTTGAGGATAAAAATGCGAAAGGAGTAAAGATTTAAGGACGCTGACCACAATTTACCTCTAAATGAAAAACCGCCATAACAAGGAACGGTTAAAATAGAAGCCCCCTCCCAAAAGCTCTCTGGGAATAGAGAGGAAAATCAATGGATTCAGAGAATTGCAGGCCACTGGGTTTCTTGATAGGTCTTCCTTTTGCTTTTCTTGCCTTGATCTTGTCTCTCGTAGGCATTGTTGTTTGGGCTATTGGGTTAGTTTCTTACTTTTTCAATTAAATGCCATTATGTTAATCTAATCTTTGAAATTTTTAACCATTTTTTTCTATTCAATTTTCCATTCACATTTTGTCTCTTTTTGTGCAAGATTGTTGTTTAAACTATCGAATTTCATTTGCATTCGAACACCCAATGTCTAGGAGTCTTGAATTTATCAAGAATAATATTTAATTCCCGAGTTGGATTACAATTTGGTAATGTTTTAATGATATACAGGAGTTTGGTGAGTTGTGTATGCCCATGTTGCATATGCTGCGCTGGAATTGCCAATTTTTCTGTAAGCCTTGCGAAGATGCCTCTTAAAGTAATCAGATGGTTCGTAGATTTGATACCTTGCTGACAATATTATGGGCTTATAAGATTTTCTCTTCGTTCTTTTATTCAATGCTGTAAACTTAAATTTCAGAATGTTTCATTGTAGTACTAATTCAATTTAATTTGTTGAAATCTCGTGTACAACTAGGCTCGTACATCAACTTTGATGTCGTGGATGACATTCTCGTGAGTTAACAGTTTTTTATATATTAATTTTAACGACGCTTTAAACAATTAACAATATAGATTTTGACAATTCTCATAATGCCATCAACAATATCATTTAGGAATATACGTCTAGATTAATTCTAATGGATACTGGGATCTTGGATAAAGGAAAAAGGGGAATGAGTTTCTTAAGAAATCTTGTGCCGAAGATTGAATTTTTAGCTAAATCAAAGCCTAGTTAGTGTGATAGATTGTGCTTATTGCTTTTCATTTTCGGTTGTGTTACATATACATAGCCCCTGTTTGACACCCATTTTGTGTAAAAAAATAAACTCTGAAATAGTGATTTATGGAAGAAATCTGGAATAGTGATTGAAGGAAGAATGTGTGGTTAAAAAGTAATGAGAATTTTTGGATTTATGTGTAATATTATTTTATTGATAGAATCTGTGGTTGAAATGAAGAAAGAGAAAAAAAATGAGAATGAGAATGAAAAGAAAATGGATATCAAACGGGGGCATAATACTCTACAAACACATGATGTGACGAGATATAATTGGTTCAAAATTTCTTCAACCAGATTAAAAAAAAAAAGCTTTCGACTCTCTTCCTGACACCTCATCTGGATGCAAAAATCATTATATAACTCTATTATTTTCCTTCTTTATATTTATGTATCAAGATATACGATAGTGATACTTTGATTTATGTACCTACGAAGGTGTATGGTGAGATAGCCTTTCTTGGTGGTTGAAGGGGTGCATATAAAAAATAGGGTAATTATATTACCACCACACAATTTACTTACTACACCACAATTATAATATATTTTTAATAAGTACACCACAACAAATTTACAATTATACTCCTAATTCAATAAAAGTGAAAAAAAAAACCATATTTTGGTGTACTCATCATCGCAATATTACCCCTCATTTTTTTTTTCATTTTTTCCACCCATTTTAGATTAATTGGAAGACACAAACTTGACTAAGAAATCGTACGGTCTCTCTCATAGACGGAAGACACAAACTTGATTATGTAATAAATATATTAAAATCTCATTTCTGTACTTTGTTTGTAAATTTTTTTTTTTACCTTTGATTTTGTGGGATTTGAGTTTTGTTTTTGGTGTGAATGAAAGCATTTTTACGTTTCTATCATACAAGAATAGACACGGAAATAGCCGTCATCTGTGTGAATGATTTTTTTTCCCTGTTTTGTGTTTGTTTTTCTTAAGATTTACATATTTATTTCACATTTTTGCTAATGAATTTATTCTAGATATGGGTTTAACTTGTTTACTAGGATTATATCTCCTTTTACAAATAGTTTATTTATTTATTGAATTTTCATATTCTCTCATGGAAAAACATTATTATGAGCCTTTCATTTACTCATTATTCATACTTCTTACATTTCCAATTAATTTTTAGTGGTGGGTTCATTTTTCAAGAGACAAAACGAGGATGAATTTTCTTACAAACATGCCTTTTCAAGATTTTTCTCGTTAGGGTTTTTGAATCTTTTTTTTTCTCCCTTTCTGCATGTATAATCAAATATACTATATATTTTTTGGACTGTAATTTTTTGAGATCTACATTTGTTTTTTGTAATAAATTCATTAAAACCCATTTATGTAATTTAACTTAAGGTTGTTTAAGCAAATAAAAAAATTACTTAAGATTGTGGTGTAACTAATAAAATTCGTGGTGGTAATATAATGGGAACGATACATTTCTAAGGTATTTACTTTACACAATTTCAAAAATACAAAAACAAGTTCCAAATTTCACAAATCACGTTTTTTAATTTTTTATTTATGAAATAATGAATTATTAAATAATTAATTCTAATATAATATCACCCCTACCGCTCCAGGGAACTATTCCAGCTACTGTTNCACCACCACCACCACCACCCCTACCGCTCCAGGGAACTATTCCAGCTACTGTTCCGGTCACAATTGATCTCCGGCGACCGTTCCGACAACTGCTCCGATTCCGACAACTATTCCGACGACCATTCTGCCGCCACTTTGTTCCGACGACTGCTCCGATTTCAGCAAGTATTCCAACTCCGGCGAAAATTTTTAGGTCACAATTCAAAATTTTCATAGGTCACAATCTGTTTATCAGTCACAACTAAAATTTAAAAGTCACAATTTATTCGTCGATCACAAATTACAAAATTTATAAGTCACAATATTTATTTACGGTCACAAACATCACATTAATTGACACATAAATTATATTTAGGTCACAATTTATCAAATTATTGGTCACAAATTAATAATTTTTAAGTCACGAATCATGTGTTGATCGCATTTTATCTAATTCATTGGTCACATATCGTTTATTGGTCGCCAATCGACCAAATTAATGGTCACAAACAACCAAATTATTTGTGACCACCATCAAAATCATTTGTGACCACCGCTTCGCCACTGCTACCGCCACCACCAGCGGCACCATCCCCAACACCACTATCACCACCCCAAGACCCTCATCGCCACACGCATAGCCAAAGCAAACACACAAATCACATACAGAACACACAACCACCACCGTCACCAACTTCATATCCACACTTCGTAGCGCACAAATAACTAAATAATAAGTTACAGGTAACCACCGCCATCGCACCACAACCACCAATCTCACCAGTACCGCCAAACATCACCACTGCCGTGCCACCGCACATCATAACCACCACCACCCAATTACAAACACCACCAGAATTCGCTAACCACCACCAAGTCGAAATCAAAATCCAAGGTCGACAGAAATTAAATATGAGCAGCGGAGAAACATTAGATCCATGTCGTCGCCACTACAGTAATCGAGAAGCGCCCACGACGACTGGAGCATGGTGGAGAAAGAGATCCAGATCTGTTGAGGAGGAATAGGGACACGAAGAGAGAGAAATTCAAATTCGGCCTTACAAGAGGGTGTCGACAACTTTATTGAGAGGGAGATGCAGATGCAGATTCGTCAAAGAAGAAGCAACGAGAAGAAAAAAAATGGTGGAGTCGCCGTCCCCTTCACCTATAGTCGCCATTGTGGGTGGAGTCGTCGTCGCCTTCGCCATAGTGAGGAAGAAACAGGTGGGTAGTGAATGCTGTGGTGGTGGGAGGAGGTGGCACTGTGGAGAGAGAAATGGAGGCGACGGGCAGTGGGAGGAGAGAGGGTGGAGGGGAAGAATTGGATCAAATGATTTAGGGTTTAGTTGTGTCAAATTATTTTATTGTATATAGATATAAAAATAAAAATAAAAAATATTTTTAAATTATTAATTAAAACTTGATTTTTGAAATGTTAAACTTGTGACCTTATTTGTGAAATTCAAAATCTAATTTCAGGTGTAGGTATAATTTCCTCTAATATAGTTACCCTAAAAAATAATATGAGGCTAATAGATAATTTTCAAATTTTGTGACCGGATCGGACAGTTGACCCACCAATATTATGGGCCGAGTAAGCCCAACATGATCGTCACCACAACGAACCAACTCGTCAACCGGGCTAACCGGCAATAGCAATCTCTAGGCTAAAACCCTGATTACCCAAATGCAATTCTTCCACGAACATGGCATTATCAAGGGCTCCTCTGTCACGACGGAGTTTTCTTCTCTCTTCTCCAAAACCACCACCATTTTTCTCATTTTTTCGATACTCTCCGCCTCTTCAACTCCTGCCCAACTGCAAAATTTACAACTCAGCTTCTCTTCATACAGAAGAATCAATGGCCCCTCCCCTACAATTCGAAGCTCCTAGTAGAAAAAAATTTAACTGGAAACCATTGTGTTTGTATCATACTCAAGGTAAGTGCACTAAGGTAATGAAAAGTCTCTCATTAGTTCAATCCTCGGAGTATGTGATCAATTGAATGACAAATCACTCGTTAGCTGATTTTTTTTTTTTAATTGGTATAGATGGATGATCCTACGCATATTGAGAGGTTTAACCACAGTTGTTCTTTAAAGCTTGAGAGGAATGGTTTGGGGCTAAAGAACTTTCGGGCTCAGAAATTTGATTATTTTCTTGTGCTGGATTTGGAGGGCAAAGTTGAGATTCTGGAGTTTCCGGTGTTGTTGTTTGATGCGAAAACTATGAATGTTGTTGATTTGTTTCACAGGTTTGGGTTTTAAAGCCATCTAGATATGTATAATGTGTGCTTTTGTTTAGTGTTTACTTTGTATTTGTTATATCATAATTGGCCTTGTTAACTTTTACCGGACTTTTTGAATGGCCTTAGATGAGGGTATTTCTATATCGGAAAGCATTATAATTGACACGGTCATTCCTTTTATTGACTGCCAAGAGAAATTATTTTTTAGACTGCTCATAAATCTCCATATATTCAAAAGAATGGGGCATGTACGAGTTCATGCAATCACACTCTGTGGTCATAAATGGTGAATATAATTGAGTAGGATTCAAAAAATGTAGTGTTACAAAATCATCATCACTGATTTTCATATTATTATGAAGCATTTTGGTGAAATAACTTTACATAGAATTCACAAACAAAGACAAAATTTCTTTAAATTCACTAAAGAATGTTCACCACTGTTTTGTTTGTGTCGACAGAGATGATGGCATTGGAAGTATTAGTTTGATTTCGTTATATTATCGATTTCTTAAATAGCATGTAGTGAAATACTGACAATGCTAATCGTATGTCATGTAACAATTTGCAACTACATGGTGTAACTTTTATGTAATTTATGATATTTCTTCTCTTGTTTCCAATTTCAACAGGTTTGTGAGGCCCACGAAAATGAGTGAGCAAAGAATAAACGAGTATATCGAAGGAAAGTATGGGAAAATTGGAATTGATGGGTAAAGAAAATTGTCCTGCAATCTTGCTTGACGATTAAATAAATTTATCGCAAACCTATATTTTCTTACTTGTTTTCGATTTTTTGGTTGCATAAACCTAGTCATGTGTTTGCTTAAAATTCAATTTAAAGAATTATGTAATATATTTAATCACTGTCCCAACAGTGTTGTCTTCTTATTTTTCATTTTTGCAGTGTTATGTGATCTGACTTTGTATAGTTGACTGAATAACTTGTATGAATAATTTTGATGTAGTGATAGAAAAATTAGTGACAAATAATAATATGGACATAAAGAGCATGGACTTGTGTGTCTCGTGTCAAAATTGTCTTTGGAATGATACCTAAGATGAAAAACTAGCTTATCAAACTCTTCCTGTTTTTGCGAAGAACTAAAGACGTGTGTCTGAAAGTTGTTTTAGGATTTACTGACTAGCCTTTTCCATGTATGTGGTGGGATCCTCTGTTTCTACAAAGTTGCAGTCATGGTCCTATTGTTTGCCTAATACAGAACTTCGAATCCCATTCTAAACGTATGTCACCATCAGGCTTACTGCAATCTCACAAGCAAACATCAACTCCTCTGCATCGGTCAGTTTTTACTTAGCCCATGGTACACTGATGCAGTGGCAAGCCACCACCATAGACACACAATCAGCTCTATATCCCTATCTTCAAGACCTGATGGATTTTTATTGAAGAGATACACAATCAGCTCTATTATTGTTCATAAGTTGGCAATCAACTACTACAGCTGTAAGGTTAATTTGATTCCTACAACATAGAATAGGGAAAGTTAAAGAGATTGTGGTTAATTAAACAATTTACCTGCTTGAATTACTTATGTTGTTATTGATACCAGTATGCACCTATGTGCCTAGTTTCTGAACTGTTGGGCCCTAAAGGCTTCAAAAATTGAATGAGGACCCAAGTTCTTTATTTTGAAAAGGATGGGGACGCCAGCTCTACGTTTTCTTTTTTTTTTTCTCCTCTTCTTTCTCTCACCTATTCTGTTCTCCTCTCTCGCCTATTTGGCATCAGCTATATTGGCAAACCATGGATCACGGCAAATTCTCCCAGTAACACTTCTAAATCGTCCTATTACCTTTCAACCTTTTATTTTCTTGTTTTGTGCCAATAATCACATACCTCATCTTACACCGTTTTATTTGTGTTTTCTGTTACAATAGAAATTTGAGCCACAATGTTAAGAATGCTGCATTTTTAATCTTTCTGTCATCTGTTCATAAATAAATTTCTCCTGGACAATGGCAATATAAAGATGGCTATTGTGGTGGAATAACTATTGAGTAATGTTATTTATCATAATGATGGAACATCAGTAATTTGGTAACCCATTATTCCTCCTTCCTCTCTCTCTCTCTCTCCTTCCCCTTTCACATAAAATTTGAATTGTCCAATCTCATTATTCCATTCTACATAGACTGTCACATTACCGATGTTCCATTATTATAATGATAAATATCATTATTCATAACTATTTCTTGTGGTTATAAATAAAGTACTGGCTCCACAACCGTCTCGGAATGCTTCACTTTTTTTGCATCACGGTGATGCCAATTCATATTCTAAAATTATAATATGTTTCTTTTGTTGCATTCAATCTGAAGCAATTCATGCATAAAATGGATTCTACTTTAATAGTTCTCATAATTTTTCTTGTTGCTATGCATTAAGGATACTATTTATCTTCTGTAATGAATTGTAAGGTTAAGTTTGTTAAGTTGAGGAATTGAGAGTTAAGAATTAAATTTTTGTGTTAATGCACAGTGTTTGGCACGATACAGCTATTGCATTTGATGATGTTATTCAACAATTTGAAGCTTGGCTGGCTAAGCATCATTTATGGAGAAAGGAGAAGGGTGGGCTTTTGAAGGAGGCTGCATTTGTAACTTGGTATGGAGTTGCTACATGAAATTGAAATCACTAGCACCTTCACCCTTATGGAATCAAATTGCTATAACTTTCTCTGGAGGTTTGCTTTAATTTTTTTGATTTGACTAAACCAGTATAGAGTAAGTTTCAATAACCAGAAATAATTGGACGCAAATGGGGTGGAAAAGTTTTGTTACTTCTGGTGGCATTAGTGATATTCGTTTAGTATTAAGAGTTGAAGCCTATGAAGCACAAACACACCTAGGCGACTTGTGTCTTATCATGTTGGCACTGACACTCTTGAGCATGTGTCTGACAAGCCACGTGTCATGTCCTGTTATATATATATTTTTAATTTCCGAGGCTCGACGGATATTTTAGGACACTCATTGGGCAAGTGTTCAACATGCTCTGTGTTGTGTTATATAATAGATAAATGTAAAATATTAAATAATCTATACTGACATGTTGCCAGCATGTCCACGTCCTACTTCATCAAAAAATCACTTGTCTGATTGATTATGTCCATGCTTCTTAGGTTGAAACACATTGAACTCATCGACAAGTTTTAACTGACATATCGTGTTCTATGTGCACCAGTGGAAATTGGGATTTGAAGACAAAAGTCCCCCAGCAATGCATAGTAGCAAGAATGAAACTTCCACCATATTTTATGGAATGGATTAATCTGAAGGACATTTACCTGAACTTCTACAAGAGGAGGGTGAGTACTCGAGAACTACTAATTCCCAAGATTTCTAAATCTCCAGCTTTAATATTTTTATTGCAGTGATATGGTATGGCTTTTCGGTTTTGAGTTGTAAACTCATATATCTGTTCTGTGCTGCTCATTCAGAAACAAAGAAATGTCTAACTAAGTTTCTTTGTTTAGTTTTGACTTGAGTGGGAATTTGGTTTAAGTCTAATCTTTGCACTGTTAACGAAGTGTAGCTCTTCCATTTCAATCCTAGAATCTACTCTTTCTTTGCGGCATGTGTTGGTTAGATAGGAAGCCTATTTTCCTTTTATTGGTTTGGGAATGTTGTAGCGAATTCCTAGAAAGTATGTAGAGTTTGTGGCATGGTTAAATCCCAGTTTGGTGCATTGAGTTCAAATTGTTTCTAGGTGATGTTTTATTCTTGTTTCAAGCATTAACCAAACTTCACTTGTTTTCGGATGATAGGCCCCAGGAATGATTTCAATGATGAGGGAACTTCAGATCCCATTGTTAGGAAGTCACCATGTTGGAATTGATGATACACGAAATATAGCGAGGGTGATGCAACACATGCTTACAGATGGTGCCCTTTTTCAACTTACTGCTAGAAGAACCTCGGGTTCTCCTAACAATGTTAAATTTCTATTCGAAAATCGTATCTAGTAGTTGGTTGTTGGGAAGAGTGCATACTGGTGGTCTTATTGTCTAACCCTCGTCTAGGGGCGAAAGCCCAGAGAATGGTAGCTAATATGTACTAAGCATTTGTACGTTGTAACAGGAACTTTGAACGGTGCAAAGAGACTTTAGAATGTAAAATTTGATTAGTTGTGTTGTCTAGCTCCTGAGTTTATTGATTGGTTGATAAGGATGTAGTTTTCCCGTAAAGAATTAAGCAATTGAAAATGGATGAAATAGCGTCTCAACTACTCTTTTGAGACGAAATTTTTTGTTATGCACGACTAAAATAAGTCGAGTGATTGAAGTAGAAATTTACAAGTTGAGTGTTAGCCTTCATTTGTATATCATTTTTTTTTGGGTAATTTCACTTTTTTAAGTAAAAAATTAGCCCTTGTTTGGTGGGGAATATAGTTAAATTTTTAGTAGATTTTAATAGAAATTCGTGGTTGAAAAATTATGAAATTCATAAAATATGTAATTGAAATTAATTATTCAACTTAATTTAGAATTTAGTTTGCACTGAACAAAGGCTTACCTATTGCTTTTTGACTTTTCTCGGGAACCCTAGCGTTCCAAAACCAAAATACTTGTTTGGCGGTAACGTTTGGTGGGAAAAATTAACTTTCCACTACCCGACTCCCATCCAAAGGCACGTACAACTAACTTCCAAATTAATCAACTCAGCAGCCGCCACGTCTGTGATTAAAAGCCGTGGAAAAAACTCTTTTACATGCCATAGCACGTTTTGTCCACGCACTTAATATTCGCGTAGCAAAACCCTAAAAAAATTTCTATATATCAGTCTCCTCATATCCTCCGCCCAGTTGTAGAGAAATAGTTTTTTCCTGAGGGAGAGCACGTAAAGAGTAAGCCCTTGAGAGCGAAAAAATAAAAAATAAAAAAATAAGAGAGATCGAGAAAAAATTAATTATTTGATTTGAACCCAAAATCTAAACTTGGGATTCGAAGTAATTAGGTCGAAACTCGCTTCAGGTTGAAAAGAAATCTGATGATTTCTAGGGTTTATTTTTCTCTTTCGTCGGCATAGTGATCAATTGATCAAAGGTCAGTCCTCATTCTCGCTGTTTTTTTTTTTACATTTTCAGACACGCAATTGAACGGATAATTAACCCATTTTCTTAAATTTATTTATATTGACATTAGGTATCGATATTTTTAAGACGGATAGAGGCTGATACAGATAGATATATAAATATAGACATATTTCTATATTTATACCTTTTGGTGGGTTTGACATGCGATTATCGCGGTCAGTGTTGGCTACGAAGAGACGGAAGAATCAGAATTTGGGGAAAAATTATAGGGGTAAGAAAAAGCACAAAAGATTAGACGCAATTTGTGAGAAGGCTTACAATAGGAGTCATCTTAAAGGGGTTGAAGAGGTTGAATCTAGTGAGTTTAATAATGGAGGGAATGGACTTGAGCTCCGAAGGAGCATTAGGGCTCGTAGAGCTCCTGTATTTCTTGATTCGTCACCTACGCCACCCAGAAAGCGGCAGAGGGTTGATAGAGGAAGTCGGCTCAATAGTACTGAACGGGTGAATAGAGAAGAAGAGGAGAGGTGTGAGTTGTTGCCCTCAACCTCGAGGAATTTGGAGGGAGAGAACAATGGTTGGCAGTTGAGGTTGAGATCTAGGGACAAGAGTGCAAATCGAGGAGGGAGGGAGATTGTGCCAAGAGGTAAGCGGAAGCTTTTTGATGATTTTGATGAGTACAAGGAAGGAGCTATGCCTCGGCTTGATGGAAAGAAAGAGGATATAGTGGGTGGGAAGTCGACTGTTGTTAAGTTGACGAGACCTGGAAAAATCATAGCTTCAAATGTTTTAGCAAATGAGAATCTGGAAATTGATTTGGGAAATGACATGGAGGATGATACCGAGAAGGAGGAACTATTGGAAGTGACAGATGAGCGGGATGGACTGCATGTAAAATTTGATTTGGAACATAGAAATGAGGATGGAGATGAATCTGAAAATCTTACTTCACAGATGGGTGAGAAAAGGGAGATTGAAATTCAAACAGAACTACAACTGGGAGACTGCCAGGGCAGTAGCAATGTGGAAACCATGGAACAAGATATGGGTGTGGATAAACAAGCTTGTGATCTTGCAGAAGACAAAAACAATGCCGTTGCAGTTGATTGTGATACACAAGACAATGCAAATGAGGAAGAGCACCGTGATGAACCTTTGGAAGATGAGACCTGTAACAAATTAAATGGGCCAAAGTATGTTTCAGATGTTGTGCTCAGCAAACCAGGAATAAAACCGGGAAGACGATGTGGTTTGTGTGGGGGTGGTACTGACGGTAAACCACCCAAAATATTAGTACATGATGGGGCTAGCAGTGATAATGAGACATATATTGGGTCTTCTGCTTCTGAGGAACCTGAATATGATATATGGGATGGATTTGGCGATGAATCTGGATGGCTTGGACGGCTCTTGGGCCCTATAAATGATCGCTTTGGTATAGCTGGAATATGGGTTCATCAGCAATGTGCTGTATGGAGTCCAGAGGTATTGCTTATATCCTTAATTAACATCAATTATTTTGACACGTGTCATCGCAGTTTGTTGCATTAAGAAATATACTTCTTACTTATTTCTGTGCCGCTGGTTGTATTCATATTTTCTGCCAGTCCTGTATGCATAATTTGTGTGTGATTATAGCGTAGCAGGTGATGTAACCTTAATGAATGTGGGGATCCCCAATTCTTGTGCTTGTTAATTTTAATCAGAACCTTTATTGCTAACAGGTAGATTGAGGGAATTTGTGATTGGGATGGGCATATTAATTTCCCTTAGGAATTGGCTGCAGGAAAGGGGGAAGGACTGAAACTCTGAAAGTGTCAATAAATTGATGGATTTCAGTTGTTTCATTTTCTTGATGTCAATAATGAACAGAGAGAAATGGTTATTTATCTTGTAAAAATGTAGTATATATTTCGTTTAAGGTTTTCGGAATTATGACAAATGTATTTACTTGTGATGTTGCCACTTATTTTGGGCTGTGTTCGTATTTATTTACTGCATACAGACCATTCTTGATAATGGAAGAAATTTATGTACTTGCCTGCATTGTTATGAGATCCTATTCAGTTCCGTTAGGTAAGATGAATTGGAAAGTTTAATAGTCTTTCTGTTTACTTAATGCCTTTGGTACACCTACGAAACAAGGTAGGTTCTATTGGCACGAAATGTGTTTTGCCTTTTGGAAATTTTATAAATTTGGATTTTTTCTCCCCGTTTTCTGTATTCTCTAATTATATAAATTCTGGGTTTAATTGAGCCGTGAGCTGTAATAAGCTTACTTCATTTAACCTAGGTGAAGTGCATTTGAGTCATGGAGTATTCTTTTTGTTGAATTAGGGTACATAGTCTCTCAAAATTCTATAAATTGCCAACCATTCTCTGGGAATTGCAAGCATGTGCAAAAAGGGCGATATTGAGAGTGAATAAGTTAATTTTAGACTAAGAGCTTCTAAATTCACCAACTTAATTAATTTATTCTCTCTCTCTCTCTCTCTCTCTCTCTATATATATATATATAAACTAAACCTGGTTCCCAGTTAAATGGGGTTGGCTAAATTAATCCTATTTTTCCATTCTCTTCAGTTCATTACTATATGATCTTAAGCAATTGCATCTTTAAAAATTACAACAAACCATGTTAGTTTTGATTAGGGGTGGGCATGGATCGGGTCACGTGAAATTCCAACCCGAAATTTAATAGTTCAAGAAACCAACCCGAGTCGTTCAGGTTGATTCGATTTGTTGGTTCATTGGTATTTTACCCTCGAAACCATTTTTTTTTAAATGGACCCCGAAACCCAATGCCCCACGAAACTGATCCGAATTGGGTCGGCTAATTGGATTTTTTGTCCATCCCTAGTTTTGGTCATTCCGTCCCTTTTTAGACTTTTTCTACTAAAATTATTTCACTCTTATGAATGAGGTCCTATTTGGACCTATATTCAAAATGTCAGAAACCACTTAAATCTTCATTGCCTTAACTTATCCTCACTTGGTGCTACCTCCATTTATTGGTGTTTGTTTTCACTTCTTATTATATCCATTTTAATATGTTCATGTCATGGACATTTTGTATATTAATACCCAACACTAGGATTAAGTATAGCAGGTCACAGAATTCTTGTAGCATTTGTTCATTTCGTTCAACCCTACCTATGCATTACATTCTCTTCAATTCCTACATTATTAATAATGTCTTTATAACAACCATTTACACCAACCATCCCATTTGAAAAAGCTACCTGATTCAAAATTTAATAAAGCTATCCTATACACCCAAATATTGAAAAAGTACCTCTATATGTTCTCCTTACAAATCAACTCCACCACCATTTCCCAACCTCACCCCCTCCTTGCAAGCCTCTGAAAGAGAGGTGAGTGCATGAAGGAGGGGTGGCAAGGTTGCAGGTGCTATTGCGATTGGGGGGGTGTATAAGTGCTCTCTCTCTCTCTCGTAGAACTGACATTATAACGTATTGTGCTTCGGGGGTGTTGTGACAAAATTGAGTGTTTTTGAATTTGTTCAAGTAAGCTGGCTCTGAGATTTTTATCCATTTGTTGGCTGAGTTTCCTTCTTTGCGTAAATAGATTTCCTTCCATCGTGAGTTTGCTTTATGGTCATGCTTTCCTTTATTCCCCTCACCATTTTAGAGTGAGACTTTGTCAAACTTTGTACTTTGTTGTTGGAAATGAAAGGGGGATCTTAGTTTAGCTTACCTGGAGCTAAAATTTTAATGGTATTTTTCTCTTATTTCATTCACGATACTATGATACTCTCTCTCTCTCTCCCCCCCCTGCTTGTGGTGAGCGAGTTACTGATGTTGAACTTTATTCAAGGTTGTTACCTGACTTGATTAATTATACTTTCTGATATTGTCTGTTCATGAGATTATCAGGGTTCAGAATTGTACCATCTCAACTGTGCTTAATGATGGAAATGTTAGTAGGAAGTAAGCAACAATCTTAACTGCTTGTTTTTTCTATAGCTTCCCTTCTAACACATGCTGAACACTTTTTCTGCTTATATTTCCTTGGGTACACGTGACTATAGTTTCGTTTTCATTTCTCTTGGTGCTCTAGTTGGTCAACTCTCACCTTATGCCAATTTGGACGTGTTTTCAGGTTTATTTTGCTGGGCTGGGATGCTTGAAAAATGTTCGGGCAGCACTTTGCAGGGGAAGAGCGTTGAAGTGCAGTCGCTGTGGGAGGCCAGGGGCAACAATAGGGTGTCGTGTTGATCGATGTCCCAAAACTTACCACGTGGTTAGTGGTTTATTTCTTTCTATTCTAAGAGTTTGATGTTTCTGTTGCCTCCTTGGCCTGAATGCCCTGTGAATTTTCCTTTTTCTTTTCTTTGGGTTACTCCATAATGCTGTTCATGTTTCTATTTGGACGTTTCTTTGATTTTGTAGCCATGTGCTCGAGCCAACGGTTGCATTTTTGACCACCGCAAATTTCTCATTGCCTGCACTGATCACCGGCATCTCTTCCAACCCCATGGAAGTCAATATTTGCACATCTTAAAGAAAATGAAGGCAAAGAAAATGAAGTTGGAAATTAAAAAGATGTCAAATGATGCACGACGTAAGGATATTGAAGCAGAAGAGAAATGGTTGGAGAACTGTGGGGAGGATGAAGAATTTCTGAGACGTGAGAGCAAGAGGCTTCATCGAGATTTGTTGAGAATTGCACCTGTGTACATTGGGGGCACAAATTCGGAGAATGACATACAATTTAAAGGCTGGGAATCTGTTGCTGGGCTTCAAGATGTCATCCGATGCATGAAGGAGGTTGTCATTTTACCACTTTTGTATCCTGAATATTTCAACAATCTAGGGCTTGTGCCTCCCAGAGGCGTTCTTTTGCATGGATATCCTGGAACAGGCAAAACATTGGTTGTGCGTGCATTGATTGGTTCTTGTGCTCGAGGGGATAAACGTATAGCATATTTCGCTCGCAAAGGGGCAGATTGTTTAGGCAAATATGTTGGTGATGCTGAGCGCCAGCTCCGACTTCTGTTTCAAGTGGCTGAGAAATCACAACCTTCTATAATTTTCTTTGATGAGATAGATGGCTTGGCCCCTTGCCGCAATAAGCAGCAAGATCAAACACACAGTTCAGTGGTCTCCACTTTGCTTGCTTTAATGGATGGTTTAAAATCACGAGGTTCAGTTATTGTAATAGGAGCTACAAATCGTCCTGACGCAGTTGATCCTGCTTTAAGGCGTCCTGGGAGGTTTGACCGTGAAATTTTTTTCCCACTGCCTTCAGTTAAGGACAGAGAAGCCATCCTTTCATTGCACACTCAGAAGTGGCCTAAGCCTATTACTGGATCCTTACTCAAGTGGGTAACAAGGCGAACTGTGGGATTTGCTGGTGCTGATCTTCAGGCTCTTTGTACTCAAGCGGCCATCATCGCTCTGAGGAGAAGCTTTTCATTGCAAAAAGTTCTTTATGAGGCTGGAGGAAAAACTTCTCAGCAGGTACGTGCTCCTATTCCCAAGTTTAGTGTGGAGGAGAGAGATTGGCTGGAGGCTCTTTCTCATGCACCGCCTCCTTGCTCTCGGAGAGAAGCTGGGATTGCTGCAAATGATGTCGTATCTTCTCCTCTTGACTCCCATCTCATTCCTTGTCTGCTGCAACCACTAACCAGATTGCTCATTTCACTTTATTTGAATGAGCATGTTGTCTGGTTGCCACCACCTCTGAGTAAAGCTGCCACGTTGGTGAAGGATGTAATTATTTCTGCTCTGGATAGAAAGAGTGCGCGGACCGACAAATGGTGGTTGCATGTTGATGATTTGCTCCAACAAGCTAATGTTACTAGTGAGATTGAAAATTACCTCGCACTTGCTAATGTTCTGATTGGAGGACTTCACTTCTGCAGTTCTGATGCATTAGAGGACAATACTCGTGATTGCTCAAAATTTTGCACCTCCAACTTTCAATTTACAGATGCTCGTCCTGGGTTCATGCAGAATATATCTTATATCTCAGGGAATAAATCAGGATTTCAGATATTGATTTCTGGAAATCCAAGATCTGGCCAGAGGCATCTTGCGTCTTGCCTTCTCCACTGTTTTGTTGGGAATGTCGACGTGTGGAAAGTTGATTTGGCCAGTATTTCTCAAGAAGGACATGGAGATATGGTTCATGGGCTAACACAAATATTGAGTATGTTCCAATTTTTATTTCAGCTTGTTACAATTACTTTTAGCTATTATAGCAAAATTGCTGCATAAATGTGTGATTAACGCATGAGCTTAACTCATTCTGAACTAGGTAGATTCTAAGATTCCTTTATGAGGCTGGAATTTTGGTCTGCGTTCTCGTGAATTAGGATCTAATTTAGCAAGTGTTGCCAAGAAATCTTTCAGGGTAATCATTATTGATAAGAGTCATTCTCTTCTTGCAATTGCAAAGTTTTGCCTAGTTTAATAATTTCATCCTCGGTTATCTCTTGTTCTCATTTTCTTTTACTGGTAAAGTTTAGCATATATTTCACATCTGTATTATGTTCATTTCACATCCCATCGCTGTGTCTTCGCTAGCATCTTACCGTGCACTTTTGCAAATGTCTTTGGTCTTGTAGCCTTGTTAGGCTTACATGATGGCTATTTCTTTTGATTTTTATTTTTCCTTTCTGTTTAAGTTGCTAGGCAGTTTTGAATGTGCAGATTCATGTGATTGTCTTTCTTTAGGGGGGAGGGAATGTCACAAAGAGTTCAGTTCAATGTTAAAAAGGCTCAATCAGGTACTGAGGCATATTATCTCGGTGAGTTGTAAGCATCACGATAGAAAAATAAAAGAACTCAAAAGAATATAAATATATAAATATATGCTCGTAATATACGTACACCCTTTTAAATAAATCTATAATAAAACCAATTAGCAAAATTTAATGTTAAAAGTCTTAACTTGCAAACAAACATAAATAGATCAAGAAAGTAGATAGTAAGTTGTCAAATTAGCAATAATGTAATAAAATAATAATTTATTACTAAAGTTGAGCAACTAAAAAATTTCTTATATGATCACTACAAATATGATCATTAAGGGACTCATTAACATCATCATTATAATCCTTATTATAAGTTTCCTTTCATTTTTTCTCATCATCCTCTAATTAATATGTCAATAATTAAATGTTTGAAGAATGCAAAGCAAATATGCAAACACCTTAGTTGGGTTGAGGCTTAGGCTTAGGCTTGAGGCATAAGCCTCACAAATGGCATTTAAAGAGCTGGTTTCTAAGAGTAGGCCTCAAATAGTCTTTTCAAACTATTTTGCACTTCGGGCAAGTACATGGGAGGGAAAAGAAAGGAGGTGGAGCCGTGGAGGGATAAGAAGAAATAGAAGACTTCTATCTAATACAGTATCCATACGTACTAAATACAAGGGGTCTTAGTGACAAGTTTACCTTTTACCCTGACAGCAATGCAGGTGCGGACGGGTGTTTAGGACAACTATGATATGAACAGGTTTATTTTGATGTTTGATGCTCAGCTAGCCAGGGGTATGATTGGCTAAGCTTAAAAAGTTACCATTAAATTTTTTTAATTGGTGAAAGGTAGAAAGTCACCTATTTGGCAATATCGTAAGAGTTAATCTTGAAAAAGATGCTACTTTTACTTAAAAGTAAAAAAAAAGTAGTTTAGTTTGCAGATGTTTGGAGAAAAAAAAAGTTACTTTTTATTTAGGCCTTGTCGAACATGCTCTTGAAGAAAAATAATTAATATTATCATTTCATGCGGCAGTGAGATGTGCTGGTGCACAGACATGCATGATATTTATGCCAAGAATTGATTTATGGGCTGTAGAGACGAGTTCTGAAGCTTGTGAACAGGAAAGTTATTCTGTTTTAGTGGAACCTCAATCCTCTGAGAAGAAATCTTGTTATAGACTTGGTGAAGTTGACAAGGTAGATGAGCTTTGTGCACGTGCTAAAGGAACAGAGATGGCAGAGTCCTCAACTGCTGTGAAGAAGGCCTCGTATCTCTGGAACTATTTTCTTGAGCAGATCGAGCCCATACGAGTACGTTCATCCTTGATAATCCTGGTATGGTGTCTTATCCTTGCTCATACATTTTTGGCTGAAAATGTTGCATCTCTTGGGAATGGAAAGTGTAAAACTTTGTGACATAATATGGGAGCCTTTAAGATTCCAATCTCCTCTCTAAATTAGAAGGAAAACAATATTTATGTTCTTTCACTGAACTAAAATGTTAAATTTTTGTTATAATGTTCGTATAAAATTATATTTTTTAATTTTTAATTTTTATACTCGTTACCGCTATATTGTGTTATGTTTATAATATGCTTGTTATAATACTGTACTTTTAGTCCAAAATTTGGATCAATATTATTCTTTACTAGAAAAATAGTCAAAAGTTAATTTTCACAAATGTTATTAAGATGTATTTATTTGTGCAAAAAAGGGGAAAGAAAGAAAAAACTTTATTTAAGCTAAAAAGAATTTATTGTTTAAATTTAAAAAAAAAATCCATAAACCAAAGGAAAAAAAAGGAAAAAATGGTTATCCAAAAAAGGCAAAAAATAAGAAAACACAGATAATTTTAAAACCATCATAAGATGAAAGGGAAAATGAATATCAATTTTATCTTTATTGGGGGGTTCTACAATTCTTAAAACGAGAAAGGGGTGTATAATAATCAACTACCTCAGGGGTGTCCTGTAATTTTTTCTAATTAAGGAAAATTCTTGTTGTACATCACAATTTATATAATTTTTTACAGATTGATGAGGTATCAAAAAGAAAGTGGGGAAGGTTTTTTCATTTTTATTTTTATTTAGTTGCTGATATTTTAACCCAAATAAATCTCATCACATCACCTATTGGTAAACAAATTAGTAAATCGTGATGTACATGTATCATAACCGAATTTAAAATATCTCGGTTTAAAAAACTTACCATAACTTCTCCATCTTAGCGTTCTTTTCCTTCGTCTTTTTCTCAATTTGTTCGACTTTTCTTCCCTCCCACTTATGCTGTTAATAGTAATACGGAAAAGGATAATAATGAAGTTCTTGTCTCTAGAAGTAATTGCTGTAGATATCTAGGTTCGATTATTAACATTGGATGTGGAAATGAAGATGATGTAATACATAAGACTAAAGCTGGCTGAATGAAATGGATAAATGGTTTACAAATTCTGCATGACAGGAAGATTTTTAAAAGATTAATAGTCTCAATTTACGTAACAGTTATTAAACCTTCTGCTGTACTTTGATAAAGATCATAATCTCCGAAGTATGAAAATTATGAAAATGAGAATGTTGAGATGGATAATATAAGAAATGTGAGCATATGCCTACAAGTGGATGTTGACATATGTCTACACTTGAGAAGTAAACAATAGTTCAATCACCTGCAAATATGATATGAATAGAACACTGACAAAAATTCTATCGAAATTCAGTTAATGGGTTGTATAATAGCGAGTTAGCAGCCAAATGCCAAATAAATTATCTATAAAAAATTCTTTGAATAAATGCAGCAATTGATAATTGCATTTGGCAAATGTTAGCAATCTTTTTTTGCAGGAATTAGTTATTAAAATAAAGAAAATGCTTACTAGATCTCTCTTGTTAACAGGCGACATCAGAAGTACCATCCTCATTATTCCCTCAGAGGATAAGGCAGTTCTTTGAGAAAGATACAGCAGGTAGCGGTCTCTCTAGTCAAATGGAGGATGCTGCGCCTCGGTTCCCTGTGCTGCTTGATGGGAATTTTGATCATGATAGGATGATTGATTCATTTGCTTCAAAGTTGTCAAAGGATTTAGCACAACAATTTGTTCAGTTAATTCATCATAGAAACCACATGCATAGGAAGTCTGTAAAGGAGACAAGAGCTTGTGATACAGTTGAAGGCAATGTTGATAAAGTTAATCATAGCTCAGATCCAGGATCTGCTATTGTTCTTGATGGTAAATCATGTCCCATAAGTCCAGTTGCATTTACAAATAAAGCTATGAAAGGGAGATCAGGCTTGCTGGTAGCGATATCAACATTAGGCTATCAGATTTTGTGTTATCCTTATTTTGCTGAGCTTTGTTGGGTCACATCCAAGTTGAAAGAAGGACCCTATGCGGACATTAGTGGATCCTGGAAAGGTTGGCCCTTCAACTCTTGTATTGTTCGCCCTATGAATTCAGCTGAGCAGTTTACTGTTGCCTCTGGCTCGATCAATATCAGAAGCAAAGAAAAATTTGGTTTGGTAAGAGGATTAGTTGCTGTTGGTTTATCGGCATATAGAGGAGAATACAAGTCTCTTAGGGAGGTTTCCTCGGGGGTTCGGAAAGTTTTGGAACTTCTCGTTGCACGCATTAATGATAAAATCCAGGATGGGAAAGATAGATATCAGTTTATTCGTCTTCTATCACAGGTAGCTTATCTTGAAGATATTGTTATCAGCTGGGTTCACACACTGCGAAGGTATTGCTTTGTTAATTCTAGTTTTTCCTGGAGTATTATTACGTTGTTGAATCTAATTTTCCTTGAATTCTTCCGCATTTCTTCATAGCTTCTTATTTGACAAGAATGCTTTTTCTTTCAGTTTGGAGATGGACGCTCAAATTTCTGAGGCAAAACCCAATGGTGATTGTACAGGATCTTTGGACAATGATAATGCCTGCAAGAATAGTAATCTAGGCACTGATCAGAAGTTAGATGTTTCTGAGGGAACTTTAAATCCACCAAAAATGCTGGAAGAAAGTCTCCATAGATTTGGTGCTAAAGATGGTTTATGTGCTAACCTAGATGATGGTGATAATGGTTATCCTGACGCAAGTGGTGGAGTTGCGGCAACAGCATTGGAGCCTACACGAATGGTTGTTTCAGTTCGTTCTTCCCCTGTTGAAAATCTTAATGGTCCATTGCCGAACGAAGTTAAGTCTCTGGTTTCTATGACAAAACATATGGGAGATCGTGCAGAATATGGACTTGTTGGATCTATTCAACATTCCAATGGTTTTAGAGAAGCAACTCCATATGTTTCGGGTGATAAGCATGGTATTGCTCTTTCTGGTTCTTCAAAATCTTGCACACGGGATAGTGGCTCGTCCTCGGCAGACAAGGACATTCCCTCTGAAAATTCCAAGGAAAACTCCGGTGGGCATGTTGTTGATTCCAATCACTCTTCTAAATCTGCCACTCTTGAGGCTGACTCGTCTGTTAGGTACCTGTACCATTGTTGTTCTGAGTGCCTTGTCAACCTCCAAAATTTTCTTCAAAAAATCATTAATTCTAAGTGGGTACTTGAAGGAAGAGATTCAACCATAGATGGTGTACATGATTTTGTTGCCTCTTTATCAGTAAATCTTCATATAGCAGTAAGTAAACTGCCTGCCAAAAGTTCTGTCTATTCGTGTAATAGAAAATTGGGTCCGGGAGGTCAGAAAATCGACATGTCTCAATGTGAAAATTCAGAGAAAGGATTGCCAATGGAATGTAGTTGTCATGATACAAGCGAGAGTGCAAATTTCGTCAAGAATTCTCATCATTGGCTTGATTCAAAATTCGTATTCAGAAATGGTGTATTGGCTACTCCAGACACTGGTAATGACTTATCTTTTCACTGTAAATTTGAGAAATTATGCCTTTGTTTTCTTATAGAGTGGATGGCGATGAACAAGGAGTCTTTAGATTGATTTCGTGCTGGTAGAGCTTTGATTCGCATTCTTCCGCAAATTTTGATGCACTTGCGGAACATATTTGTGGAACTCTGCTTCAGATGTACAATACAATTTCAGAATATATTTTCCTTGGAATGCAGTTGTTTATATTCTTAGCCAGAGGTCTGAGATTGATTCAATCTTTTCTTTTTGATTCATAAAGTCAAATCTAAATTCATGCAGTATGGAACATGAGATAAAGAGGATGTTATAGAAAGAAAAAAGATGAACCTTGTTATAATTGTTCAAGGGCTATAAACACAAGTTGTATTTATTTATGTTTTGGTTGGTGACTCCACCTACCACTCCATGCCGTAAACTATGAGGTAGCAACTTGATTAAACTAAGAAGAAAATGGGCTGCCAGTTTAACGATATACATTAAAAAACGGAAAATTTCATACATTTTTTAGGGTCCAACGTGGCTCTCATGTGCCAACAAAAAGTGCTGTTCGCATTACTAGGGCGTGTCGTACTGAGTATATCGAACTTGATTTTTCTTGCAACTATATATAGTCGTAAGTGCGCTTGCTTTCAAAGCACAAGTGGTCGTACTCGTTTCCTTTAAATGGCTAGAACTATTCCCATGAACTTTTCAATCCATCTTCTCTTCTTAGGCTAACCAAATAATTAATAGAACCGCACTATTCGTACCGAGGGTGTACAAACCCCCCGACCGACCCCTTCACATGAGGGGGGGGCCCACAAAAATCCTAATTAATAACACATCTTAATGAGCCCTAGATAAAAACAAATAACATATTTTTATTAGATTTTGATAAAAGTCGATAAATATTATGAGTCCCATAAAATATAATTGAAAATAAAATTAAGAAAAAATATTTTTTTACAAAATGAGAATGAAACTCACCTAATCGTAAGTTTGCATATCCACCAACCCCCCTCTCAGTGCTCTCACCAAACCTTCCAAAAGTCACACTAGCGAAGATGTACAATATAAATACGATTCACCATTACAATTCTTATACAAAATCTGTTCATTGATATTCAGAAAGACGGCAGCCCTACTGCAAAAATGCCTGATTTTGAGAAGTCAAAGCTTCATCTTGCCATGTTCCCATGGCTAGCCATGGGGCACATAACTCCATTCATCCATCTATCCAATGAGTTAGCTAAAAGAGGCCATAAGATCAGCTTCTTGTTGCCTAAAAAGGCTTTGATTCAACTGGGCAACAACAACTTGTACCCAGATTTAATCAAATTCCATGTTGTTGCCGTTCCTCAAGTTGAGGGGCTGCCTCCAGGTGCAGAAACTGCTTCTGATATAGACATCACTGGCAAGAATCCACTGGCTATAGCCTTTGATTCCATGGCTGAACAAGTTGAACTCTTGTTGAGTGATTTAAAGCCTGATTTTGTGTTGTATGATTTTGCTGATTGGATTCCCAAATTGGCAACCAAGATTGGGTTCAAGACTATTTGTTATAATGTTATTTGTGCTTCCTGTTTGGCTATTGGGATTGTTCCGGCGAGGAAAATTCCCAAAGACAGGCCAATGACGGTGGAGGAATTGATGGAGCCACCCAAAGGGTACCCTTCTTCCACGGTGGTGCTTCGTGGGCAGGAGGCGCGTACCTTATCATTCATAGCTATGGATTACGGTGCAACCACTTTTGATGTGCGTATCACGGCTGCAATGAAGGGTAGTGATGCAATCTCTATAAGGACTTGCCAAGAATTGGAAGGGCCAATGTGTGATTATTTGTCAAGCCAGTATGGGAAGCCTGTGATTCTAACAGGGCCAGTTTTGCCAGAGACGCCCAAAGGACAACTAGAAGAAAAGTGGGATAAATGGCTAAACCAATTTGAGCCAAAATCTGTAGTGTACTGTGCATTCGGGAGCCAGTTGATCCTCCAAAAGAACCAATTTCAAGAACTTGTATTGGGTTTTGAAATGACGGGGATACCATTTTTCATAGCCGTTTCAAAACCAGCAGGTACAAATTCTATAGAAGAAGCACTGCCTGAGGGTTTTGAAGAGAGGATTAAAGGAAGAGGAGTTGTTTATGGTGGCTGGGTGCAACAGACTCAGATTCTCAGCCACCCCTCAGTAGGGTGTTTCGTGAGTCATTGTGGTTTTGGATCCATGTGGGAGTCTTTGTTAAGTGACAGCCAAATTGTGCTTGTGCCAAGACTTGCAGACCAAATCTTGAATACACGGCTGCTGGCGGAGGAGCTGAAGGTGGCGGTGGAGGTGGAGAGAGGCGATATGGGGTGGTTTTCGAAGGAGGATTTATGCAAGGCCATTAAAACTGTGATGGATAAAGACAGCGAAGTTGGCAAGTTGATCAAGATAAACCACACGAAATGGAGAGAGACTTTGGTATGCCCAGGATATATGGACAATTACATTGATAATTTTATCAACAGTCTTTATGAGCTTTAGATGTACTTTTTATCTTTTCTTCAAATTCAAATAATAAATTTCCACATTGGTTATTCAAATTTTATTAATTAAATATATTAAGATCACAATATTATACAATTTATTATCATAGTTACGTACTAATCACAATTACTGAACGTTTCGATCACAAATCACAATTTATGATTCATCACAAATTAATTGATCGCGCATAATTTTTTGATTATTAATCACAAATTTTATAAATCACAATTTATTTATCGATCACAATTACAAATTACAAATTTTATAGGTCACGACTTATTTCATGATCACAAATTATCAAATTAATTAATTATAAGTTATTTTTCGATCACAAACACTTTTCATCTCACTCTACTCCCAAATAGTTGGTCAAAAATCCACCAAACCCAACCCAACCCAACCCAACCCAACTAGTGGTCATAACCGCCATTCATCCCATCCCCACTCCACCACCGACACCAATCGAATGTTGAGCCACCTCACCACCGCTACACAATGAACTGCATACACAATGATGAAATTTTCGACACCAGCACCATCTCAAAAATAGATTAGAGAAACAAAATTTTCGACACCATTGCATACACATGGATGACATCGCTACAATGGCACTCACAACGCCGTGCAATAGCTGTGTGAACGAAAACTAAACATATCATAAATGAGCAAAGGAAAACTAAAAATATAAATTGCAGGATTAAATTAGAATAAAATGAAGTTAAGTGGTTAATATTTTAGAAATTAGCAAATTGTATGACCTCTAATGAAAATTTTACCATCATGCTTAGCTACTTTTTATTTGGACAAATTACCTTCGTAGTCTTCCGCAAGGGAATCATTTTCTTACTTTTGTCAAGTACAATGTAATAAATATTTTCTTAATTATTAATGATAAATAAGAGAAATACAACATATTTTGGTTTTTACACTCAATATCATAAATGCATATGTTTTGTCCCAACAAAAGGGGGTAACCATCATGTCTGTGAAAACAACTTACCTTAAAAATTATCTATGCACCTTTACAGGATTATCTCCTAACCTTTTTCACACGTTTAGCACCCAATCTAAAGTCCATCTTAGTGTACAAACATTATAATTGTGTACCAATTTTGTAACGTAATTGACTTGTACTAGGTTCATGATCGCTAGGTCATCTAATATAAGCTAGTTACATTAGACATAATTTATTCAGCAATGCTTGATGTACATCTTAGTGTACACCCTACTTGATAGAATGCCTCTTTGGACAATATATATATTGTAACGTAATTGACTTGTACTAGGTTCATGATCGCTAGGTCATCTAATATAAGCTAGTTACATTAGACAATTTATTCAGCAATGCTTGATGTACATCTTAGTGTACACCCTACTTGATAGAATGCCTCTTTGGACAATATATATATATATAAAGATTGTTTTTGCAGCCAATAGTTTTTTGCCAACATGGAATCCGTCAACAACGGTGAAAAAAAAAGATGTACAAATAGATAAATCCTAATTTATTAGCTTCAACAATAAACAGAATAAAGTCTTACATTCAACAAGGCTGTGGAGTACTACTATCACCTATTAACTTCGCATGTGTTGGAATAAGGTAACAAACATATTGACTATTGAAGAATAAATATGGTATTGAATCAAAGATGATATCTAATCATGCATGATTCATATGAGACAATGTACTAATCAAGTTGATTAATGACAAGATAATGGAGATTAAAACACAACTATTCAGTTTAAATCAGATAGTGATTGAACGTGGCCAGATCACGATGCGACTATGAACATGAATTTATACTACTGGCTACGTTAGCCAGAGCTTTTTTTAAGGTTAAACTACAAATAGTGGCATTTCTGATATTTTAGTGGATGCTACTGCTAGTTTTGACAAAACCCACATGGGAAAGATCTATACTGACGAGGTGACACAGAAGAATCCATCGATGCACGTGACATTAGTTGATGCCTTGACAGAGATACCAAAACTAAATTAACATTTATGCTAAGTTTATTATTAGAACATCAATAATTACAAAAATCAAACTGCTCTAAGAACTTACTGATCGACATTTTGATCTTTAGTAGTTTTCAGCTACACATCTCGTCTTTATTTTACTCTGCATCCAAGGACCGCGATTCACAGCCACCACCATCCAGCTAGACATTAACGCTCACCAATTTATATTAAGCACAAGTTGAGCTTACAGCAACGGTTCGTGGACTGGAGGTTTGAGCTCATTGAGATCCAACACAACTTTACCTTGAATTAACCTCTTATCCTTGGCCTCGTGGGCTTCTCGCACTTCTGTAATTGGAAATGTTTTCTCCACTGGGATTTTCAGCTTTCCAGCCTCGGCTAGACAGCGGATCTCATCTAAACCTTCAGCATCAGCCCTCATGTAAGTCCACCAATATTCTGTACCATGTTATAATCAGGCTCTAATGAGAAAAAAAGTACAAACATTCGATCTCTCTCACACAGTCTTCCCAAGTTTGTCCCGTAAGAACATAAAGACATGCAACAAAATCCTTTCAGTTGATCTTACCAAAATGAGTAAAATCTACAAAAAATATTCCAACAAAAAAAGTTATGCTTCTTATCAACAGACCTATTCCATGAGAATACCGATATTGAATTTGCTTCTTCAGTAAAGTAGTAGTTGCCAAAGGAAGTCCAATTGCTAGTCCATATCTATCCGTCAAGGATGCAGCCTCCCCCTGCAGCAAACACAACAAAAAACTTTGCTCCATTATGAGCAACAACTATAAAAGGGAGTAATGAGATGGAGTAGCTTGTTTCTTGTACCTGCAATGTCATGTAATGCCCACCTCTCTTCAAAAGATTGATACCTATTCTTTCTGTCTCAGGTACACCAATTGTGTCCAAAACAGCATCAAAATACCCTTTTATTGCTACTTCATAATCCTGCAAATATGAAATTTGTATTAAACCATGAGAGGGAACAATTGAATGGAGTTCAGCAATGTAGACTTTGTGATCACACTCAAGAAGTAGGCAGAAATTTAGTAATGGGCACAAAACGAGGATTATTTTTTCAGTACCAAAATTTGAGTTTTAAGGATTAAGTATTATTTATAATTAGACATCATTATTTGATTTGAAGAAAATTGAAAGGATCACAATTGAGCATCATGGGAAAGATAACAAAAAAAATCATAATGAAAAATGTCTGAGGGGCTTTCATATCTATCAGACAGTAAAAAGAGGTAATTACATGACCACCTCAGTTGTATAGTCCACAGCCTGCTCGGCACCAGCTACTAAGAGACGATCTACACTTTCGCCTCCACATGTGGTTGAAACATAGCACCCCGCAGCCACAGAGAGCTGAATTGCAGAAAAACCTACAGCTCCTCCACCACCCACCACTAATACTCGTTGCCTGTAAAGATATAATAAAACAACCATTTGAATAGCCTACTCTTGTTCAAAGAGAGAAAACTTATGAACAAATCTTCCAATAATGACATACTAAAATGATCTCATGTTCATTCTCTATACTACCTCATTAGAACTATGTCAGTCTGATTAAGAGTTTAAACTAAAACTTAGGTCTTCCTTAATCTTCTTCTACATACCTCACAAGATAAAAACAAAGTCTACAAAAGAATTTTTTAAGAAGCAAACTAGTGCATTACTCGTGAACATCTGATTTCCACGCTTAAACAATTGGTCAAAAAAAAAAAAGTTGATTGTGGTTGATTCAAATGTATTCTTATTACAAGTAATAAACATTGCAGAAATATAAGATACTGAAAGAAACCATGTGCCTATATGCACATTTCATGATGAAATCCTCTACAAAGCTCAAACGACCTGCAAAATAAGAAGTCACGCTGCTTCAATTTCAAATGTTAATTACCTTGAATCATGTCAAAAGTTACAAAATTGATAATTTCATTTTAATGACCTCGAAATGTCTGCTTGTTAGGTCACAAGCTTCATCTTACAAATTGTAAAAAACCAAGCGGAGACAGGAGATGTATGTTGGTAGCCTTGTTCCAACTCACTATTCATTACATGCTTAGAGCATGTTTGGGTCGGATTAAAATCTGATTTTAATCTAAATCAAAGTTAAACAATCAATATTNTAATCTAAATCAAAGTTAAACAAATCAATATTAACCATATCTTTCATGGGTCTCATATCTTTTCAACCACACATTTCAAAAACTTCTATCACAATCCACTAAAAATCTAATTTTAATCTCCACCGAACACCCTCTTAAAAGCAAGAAAATGGTCATCAGAGAGTTTCAGGTTATGAGCATTAAAAACATACCCCTTTTTAATTCTTGCGGTACTTCTTAGTGCACGCCAAGCAGTCAAGGCAGCAAAAGGAATGGCACTTGCTTCCTGCCCGAAACAAAAATAACAATGAAAATGTCTACTACTAAGGGTTAACAAGAGGCAGATGCAACAGAGCATTGGACCCCAGTAAATTGGAATGCAGCAATAAGGAGAAAGGACGTGCTTTTGAAATCCATTATAAACCTTAAGATATGGGAAAATTGCATCCAGAGAGCCCAATTTATACATAAATGAGCACCTATGTCCCCATTCACCTTTTATTGGCAAACGGATCCCCAGCCTTTTGTTTTTGTAGCAAGTAGATCCACAAAAATGAGATTTCGTCCAAAAGAGTTGTTTTCCACGTCTTGCATGTGATCAACAATTTTGATAGAAAAGGAAATTATACCTCACTTTTCATAAAACAAAAATAAATAAATAAGAGCAAACTAATTTTCTTCCTTCCTCTACCCCAACTCCCGTTGCACCAGCCCCTGCCCCTGCCCCTGCCCCTGCCCATTCACAGTCACTGAAGATTCTTTCCAAAAGCTAGTCCCTGTATTTATTTCCCATTAGTACTATTAAACAACGCCACCCGGTGAGGTTACAGACTTTCATTACTTATTTCCTTGAAAACCTTCCTATTTTGGCTGGATGCACTACCCGTTAAATCAACCTCAGGTCATGCCCCCAAGTACTAGAAATCCATCCACAATCAACATGTTCCTGCAGTAACTTGACTTCTGATGAAGCAGGTGAAGAACAACTCAGTATAGTAAATGTGGGGAAGCAGAGAAAAATGAATTTTAATAGAGGAAATGGGCATAGTCAATCTAAAACTCTCTCACCAACAAAGATGAACAAGTAGCTATACAGAGGCAGGGGATGAGAAGGGACAGGAGGAAGGCAACAGGGGTTGATGGTGATGGGGCGAAGTAAAAGAAGATCGTTTATTCTTTATTTTGTTCAAACTTCAAAGAGAGGATATAATAATCCGTCAACCAAAAACCGTGATTACATAGGATATGTGTAATTTTGAAATGGTCTTTTTGAGCAGAATTTACCTCTGGGTCCATGCTACAAGATTGAAGATTGGGACTCATTTGCCTATAAAAATGTACAGATTAAGGACTGTGGATGTAAATTTTTGTAGTAATATATAACAAGATACCAATTTCCCAGTCCACAGGGACTGTACTTTGAGATTCCTAATCACGGAGCCAAAACAAAGCTTCTGGGAAAAAGAAAGATTGTTGTGAACAATTGAAAGTTCCCATAAATAGCTGCATACTCCAAGACTTACCACATGTGAAATTGAAGCTGGCTTTGAAGTTAGTTCATCTTCTGCAAGTACAGCATAGTCAGCATAAGTACCCCTCACGGCAGTTGGATGCAGTGCACCAAACACTTCCTGACCAACACTGAATGAGCGGACAGACCCTCCAACAGCAGCAACTTCACCACTAATATCACGGCCCAAAACCAATGGCAAAAGTGGTTCAAATAACGAACGACCATAACCAGATCGCATCTGAAAAATATTGAAATTTGTAGCAGAGATATGAGGGTGAAGTATGCAGTATAGAAATCTAACTAGTTGCTGTGGGTTCAAACTTAAACTATAGCAGGCAAATGAAAGTTGCATATCAGGTAAAAGCTCTCACAATACAGCAATGCAGAAACATAACTGACTGTTACAAATTTCTTGACCAATAATCAAGGAAGATCTTCATTGCTTAAATAAAATAAAAACGTAGTCACTTAATCAAGGATATGTGTGTGTAAATAGATTACATAGGATTACCTATGTCAGAAGTCTTTTCAATCAACTTGAAATAATTTACAAAGTTCAAAATCAGTGAAGTAATAATAATTCGAAGTCATAGTAATAAGAAAGACATTGATTTCTAAACTTCTTGTTCTTGTATTCTTGCCCATATCAGCATTGTCTACTCTGCCCTCAATCCTCTATTAGGTGAGTATGAATCTGATTACTTAAATTGTCTTTCAACATCCATTATCAAAATATCATGTGCGGAATGAATTCAATTTTTCATAAAAGACTTAATACATGTACAATTTTGATAAATAGACAACAAAGACACTTGAACCCAGGATGTTTGTATAGTTCTGATACCAAGTTGTGCATATCCCTACGAGATATATCAATGTCTGCAGTAGAATTTCTTGAATTCCTACAAGTATAGATGACAAGTTTAACAGTAAGTTCAGTATTTGGATTTTAGGTTGTAGAGTTGGAAGGACTACATGTGTTCAAGCTTCTAGTTTCTCAAGTAACTGATATATTGAAAAAGAAATAAAATTAATTTGTTAGGTAGGTAAATGCATCCAAATCAGATGAAAAAATATATAAAATCAACCGCTTGATGAGGTAATATTACAAAAAGATGATAATATAGTCACTCTAGTAAGTTAATTTCTTTTAAAGCAGGCTTTCCATAATGTTATTTGTCAGTACCTTACTGTCTTAGTTTTGAAACTTCTGAGCTTCTACAATTTTGATATGCTTCCTCAGTGGTCAAGTGGGAATTGGGGGTCAAAAAACATACGATCAATTCCTCAGTGGTCAAGTGAGCAATTGATCTTGTGTTTGTTTACATAGAACTAGTGCTGAAAGTATAAAACTAGCCGAAAGCACATTTGAAGTTAAATATTTCTTCTCTAACACGTAAAGGGCGCTTACTAACACATGAGAATTAAATTCCTGAGAGTTCAAACAGGGGAAATTTGGTAACATAGCACACTACAAAAAGCAAATGCAATATACATTTACTCACCTCTTGATCTAACCTAATAACTAAAATCTGATTAGTGACTCCAATAATCAATCGATCGCCAAGGAAGCATAATTAAATTGTGGAAGCCCAAAAATTCCACGATGAAAACAATACGTCAACAGGAAATAGCATTATGAGATTCCTACTTCTAAAAAATTGTGACAACTTAGTAGAGTGGGTGCATTATTATACTTCCCAAATATCATTTTAAAGCTAGTAGATTTTTATAATATTTCACCAGATTCGAATGCATTTGCTATTCTACCTAGAATAAATATTATTTCTTCATTTTCAGTACATCAATCACAAGAGAATTTCTAATTTGGATTAAAAAACAATAATCAACAAGGAAGTGCTAATAGTTTATCAACTTTCGTTTCAAATATTGTATCACAAGCACTCCTAATTGATTTGGCCTCATTTTACAAAAACATGATAAAATCTATTTTCACACACTAGGGAATGTAAAAAAAAAAAACCCACTAAGATATTAATAGTGAGCGAAAATGGGACTGACTCTGGTATCGAGGGGATTGATGGAAACAGCACGAGCGCGAACAAGGACCTCATTGGGCTTGAGATCAGGCACCTTAACATTATCTCGGAGCTCCAGCACCTCCGGCCCCCCGAATCGCGGCAACAGCACTGCTCTGCAGCTCGTCACCACAGTACGAATACACTCCCCAAACCCTAGTTTCCATTTATTTCCAATTCCAATCACCGTTGCTCCGTTTGTCTTGGGCAATAGCCACTGCATCCTTAATTTATATTTGTAAGAACGAAGACTGGAATTTCAGTCCTATTCTAACAAGTAACAAAATGCATGAAAATCACGAATCTCTGTGCATCTTTCTATGTATCAATAGGCAAAACTGAATTTGAATTGTAGAGGCTGGACACTGGTATAACACAAAAACACACACATGGCATTCGTGACGTGTTTGTGTGTTATCCGCATAAAGGGTTTTGGCATCGGTGGAAGTGAGTTTCTACGTTTGTTTGTGTCGTAGTTAAAATTCAATTAAAATTGAAAATATAATTGTTATTGAATTTCATTTGTCTAATAAAAATCAACAATAACGATTAATTTTTTAATTTTAATCTCTATCGAATACGCCATAAATAACTAGCGAATGAGTTCGCATTTTCAAATTTTTTACTTTATTTACCCTCGAGAGAAACACTCTGGACATCATTTATTATACTGTTATTGAGATTTCTTGAATTTAACAAAATTTAGATTAGTACGGAACTCTTCATTGATTAACATAACATCAGAGATATAGTAAATTCTATAATGTACACAAAGACGAGGGTCTCAAGCATTTTTCAGTTTAGCGTAGCCAAAAGCTGGATATCAATATCAGGTCAAGAATGTAAAATGTCCCTACTTTTTCAGGGTAAAAAGGAACATAAAAAATGCCTCGAGCCAATGTGCAAGAATCAAGCGATACGACGCTGAAGTAACTCAAGTCAAACTCTCAGGAAAAGCTCGAACGACCTTTAATAGATAAAATTGAATGCATTCAGATATGTATGTCATACATAGTTCACTCACTATTTTCAAAATATCACCCCAACATCTCGGATACATATTAATCTATGAACACACAGCAAAATATCCTCTATTCGCCATCATCTTCCGGGTTATTTGCACGTTCACGCTCATCAATCCATTCGCTGTATCCGTAGACATAAATTATTTCAAATAAAGAGGATGAAGAAAAATGATTATTTGAATAAACTAGACAATGATTCATCTCCTGACTCACATGTCTGTAGGCTCGATCAAAGCTGCAAATAAATAATAAAGCAAGTCAGCATACCTTAGTGAAGTCATTGGCAAATTACCCAAATTTGTAATAACACAAAATTCCAATTGTCTTTGATGCCAAAATGAGTAGTATGTTTTATGGAACTGTGTGTTAAGCTATTTCTATAAGATGAACATAACGCGCATGAGGATACTAAGATTGATGTCTGGTTGTATAAATGAGAATATGTGCCAATTGGAGGTGGTGACACTTATTGAGGATAAAATGAAGAACGGCTATGGTGATCGGTTGTGTTTATTCTGCTTAGGTCTATTAGAATCAGTCTACAATAAACATCCTTGTACCAAACGTTCGTGCAATGTAATAGCATCATAAATTTTTACAAGGTCAAGCTCAAATATTGTTTTGAGCACTTGAATTTCTTCGGGAGCAGCAATAGAATGGAACAAACCTGTTACCGTGGTGCTAAAGCTCTCTTGACAAATCCTGCATGAAGCTTCGCCAATCAAGTTCTTCATATCACTGGAGGAGGATAATGAAACTAAAAAACCAAAGACAACAAAGAATGAGGTTTATAAAAGCTGTGTAATTAAACAACATTATTTCCATTTACTACCCTTTCTTATCCTGATCGATATCAATGAAGGACAAAACATAAACTGCTCTTCTCAGGGTAGGTCTCCCATTCTTCCAAATTCTCTTCCTGTCCCATCTTTTGTAAATTTGTTCAAACAAAGAAAATAAAGCTCCCACTAATCAGCAGATAGAAAATGGATACAAAGATCGGAAGTAAACAGGACATTACATAATTGCTTTAACCATTCAACTCTTCAACCCAAACTTGCGCCACCAAACCACTACCACATCCATGTCCATCGTCATCGCCAATACAACCACCTTCACTCCTTGCAAACCAACAATAGTTGGATGTTGGCTACAAAAATATCTTTTTTCTAATATGTTTTGACAATCGTTCATTGTGGTGATTATGGAGAATTAGCTTTCGATAATATCATAGGTATTGAACCTAATCGTACTCATTTTCCAATAAAGTATGGAGAGCAAGAATGTCGGAATTCTACAGTAAAATATATAACACGCAAATTTAAAATTTTTCCTTATTTTTTAACTACACATTCTCCATCAAAATACTATTTCAAAATGCATTTTGGACAAAAAAAAAGGGGCTCAAACAAGCTCTCGATTAAACCATGATGATTAATAAGTATATTTTGTACACTTATGTAGACCATTAAATGAGAATAATGTGTATTGATTATGATGAATTATAGTTTAATCTTGGGTACATTTTGTTTGTTAGACGAAACTCGATGCTTAATGGAGAAATTAAAGAAAATGAACGAAATATAAGCGAAAAAGGAAATATTTAAAAGTTTAAGGATCGAAGTGCAAATATTAAAAAGTTGATTCGGACCAAATATCGATAATTGAATAATGCAGGGAATCAATTGGATGCAAATGGAAGACAACATAATGAAATTGCACTTAGAAAAGGGCTAAAAAGTGATGAAGAAAATTTGTGGACCGAACTGAACTTCCCTTAATAATCGTCGGTGCATCCTTAACGTTTACATATGTAAGCGACATTGAATACTGAAAATAGCTTCAAAATTGCTGATCAATTACATGCATGAACCTCTTTCTCTTTGCTTATGCATTAATTTTTGTTCCTTCATATAGAGATAGAGATCATTTCAAAGGCTCCATCACTTCTACTGCCACATCGCCTATATGTGTCATCATCTTGTGTCCAAGTGGCATTTCAAACGCAAATCCTGGCCAAAAATGATGAATCCAACCTACATATACACAATCAAGAGAGCTGATTTATACAAATACATACATAAAACCCTGTATCTACCTTTCATTTCTTTGAAAATGTCTTCATCAAGAATCATGTTCTTCTCCACTGTTTTACTGATATTCATCTCTACTGCAAAACCAGACGGTGATGGTGGTGGTTATAGTGATGGTGTAGGCACTTCTTCACCAAGTGCTTGTACAAACTGCTCAATCTGCCCATATCCCTGCCGCTCTCAGCCGCCTGGGTACCAGTCGTATGGCGCACCGCCACCGCCTTCTCCTGTGGCACAAGTGTATTGCCCACCAGATGCTCCGGTTCATTGCTGCCAGCAGTATGCACCTCCCACTCCTTTCTATTATCCTTATAACAACTATTCTGGTTCAACACATTTGCAGGTCATCAAGCCCTCTACTCCATGGTGGATTTTCGGCTTGGTGATTCTCTTTCTCGTGCATTGGCTTTGAACAAATTTCAATGGCCTCTATCAGCTAGTTTCTATTTGTAATTCAATAAGGATCCTAAATTTTTTTTTTTTTTTTTGTGTGAAACTTATGTAGAAGGTAGTTCCAGTGATTAATGGTAATCACTAATTATTAATAAGTGTGTTGTTTTTCATCTTCTAGTATATCTATGATATATTAAAAATCAGAAATTCCATATTACGCTTTATTGACGTGCAATTTCACTTTAGAAGTATTTATTTTATTGCATTTACAAGAAGTAAAACTTATAACGTATTTGCTTCGACATGTGGTTTAAAACTTCATTTTCTTCTTTCATATTTTTCTCTTGTCACTGTTTGTAGATTTTATTTTATTTTTTCATTTTTTTTTCTATCTATATAACTCACAAGTGAATGACAAACCTGACCGTTTACTAGAAGTAGGACTGCACGTGGGTTGAGTTAGATTAGTTTTGAATTCAATCCAAACAAAACCCAACAGTTCGGTTTGACAATAATTTAAATTGAAATCAACCCTTTCACGGTTGAAACTCAACCCAATCCAAGCCGACCAAACTCGAGTTGGTTTTGGTTGCAACATTTTTTGTTGAATTTGAACAATTTTTAAAAAAAGTTCGATACCATTTCAATTTGGACCAATTTCAATTACATTGAAAAGGGTGATTTGAAATGTCTTAAGTCGATTAAAGTTGGATCGATGGTCCGTGGGTTAAGTTTCATTCCAATAGAACAATATAAATTAAAAACATTGTAAAATATATTAAATAGATTATATCGTGATCAAATTAAATACATATTGAATACCTGCATATTATACCTATTGATTAAAATAAATTCAACATAAATACTAAAATGTTAAATCGTCCAAACTCAATACAAAATCTCCCCCTTCAATCCAAGTGTTTAGTCAAAAGTCACGTCAAAAAATCGAGTCGAGAAGCAGATGCACGAGCAGCAATGAGAAGTAAAAGAAACAAGAGGCAGAAGAGACGTGAGGCAGAAGAGAATTTTGATAGTTAGATTTTAGATTATTATTTTTTTAAGGACTAATATTCTTTTCAATATTTTTTAATTTATTGGGTTGGGTTTGATTGAATTTTAATAGATAACTCGAAACCCAACCCGATCCGACCTAAAATTTAATTTCTTAACCCGAACCCAATCCAATTGAACTAAAAAAGTAATCCAAACTGATTGGTTTGGGTTGAGTTGGATTGATTTTTGTTCAACCTTAACTATAAGTAAAAGTTAGTCATAGTTAATATTAGCTTTTAGCTTCTTATACTTTGGGGCAAATCTATTTAACAATTTAAGGAATTTTATAATTTTCCTAATTATCTTTCGATTACTTTTTAATTATAGGAGATTTTTTTTGGGACCTATATTTAATTAATAATTTCTTCCAGATGTACTGAGCTGTGATTATAGTTTATTATAATATTATTTAAATCAAAATTGGTTTGATATGGATTTTTATTGAGCTAATTTCAGAAGCCTATAATTGATAAATTATTCTTTCAATCTATTTAATCGCTAAAGTTAAATAATGTTACATATTGGGTTATTTCATTTGTGAAAGTAACATGTTATCCGACTTGTTGCTTGTAAATGTTGAGGTAGACTAATGTACTTAATCTATGGCCAATAATGAAGTACAAACAAGATAGATCGACGAGGTTCATTTCATTCCTCTA